TCTTTGAGCCCCGCGCGCGCTTTTCACCGAGACCGACCGTTCCACGGCCGTGTCGATGCTCGTTTTTCTGCGCGCGCTCGCTCGGTTTTTCGCGCTCTCCTCGGCCACGCTCCGCGCTTGTCCGTGTGACTCACGAGGTTACGCAGGAATGAGTAACTGACGTTTCACGTTTCAGATGCGTTTTTGAAGATGCACTTGTTTCTTTAGGGACGTTTAATTGGGAAAGTTTGAAGATTTCTTTCTTTCTAAGGGATGATTTTACTTACCACTTTGAGTCGTTTCTCTTGGGATTCCGTTGAGTACGTCAGTTCGACCATTTTCACATCCTCGCGAGACTTGGAGGGTTCGTCCAGTATGCACGAAGCTCGCACGAACTTTTATATCCACATAAACGATCTCCAAGTGCACTCTCCTGGTTAAACGATCTATCACTCACTGGAGAATTCTCTACACCACCACGTGTTCTAAATCGAAGTAGCTTCTCAAGGTACTTTTCGGTTCACTGTGAACGACGCGTAGGAGGTTGTCAAAGCGCGTCCGACGAACATGCGACACTGAGGATATGTAACAAAGTGGTGGGCCACGCGGAGAACGACTACGCAGCAATGTCGCGATTCTCGTCATCAGCAACTGCGTCTCGAGGTTGCAAAACTCGCCCCCTGATGGGAGCCGAAAAGAGGGGTGCCTAGGCGGTCGCTCCCTTCTGATTCCCACGCCGCGTCGTCGTGATTCCTCTCCTCCCCTTTTCTTCTTCTCCTCCTCCTCCGCTTCCTCGTTGACGTCACAGACCCGCGGACTCCTCCCTTGCGAAAGGTGCTCTTCACCGACGGACCAGAGAGCAGAGCAACAACGAACCCCTATTTTTCCTTCTCTCTCTCTCTCTCTCTCTCGCTCTCGCCTCTCCCCACCCCTGTTTTCCTCCCTTTTGTGCGCAACAGTTGATCGCGCCACCCCTGTGCGTAACAGAAGCACGACGAGAGAAACACTCGTGTGTACCTAGATTACACGTAGCCAACGTGTTTCGGGGTCGACACGAGTTGGTGGATGCAACTGGTTGCTGCATCGTCTCGCTGTGAAGAGGACTGTGCGTGCACGCACGTTGCATCGCGGTAGCGGCACGCGCTCCTCCGGAGCTAATCTACGCGCACAATCTCTCTCGTCTCTCTATAAGTCAGTTTTGATCACGTACGGAACGGAGAAAGGTCCGTATCGAAGAATTTACGACGGCGGTGCACACGTTGCGACACGTGCATCGAGATATCTTAATTAGTTCCTCGCCGTTCCTTCACCTCTCGCGTTATTCGGTTATAAGCCGAGTCGGTTTTTATCTGACGTCCAACTCTCCCCCTCCTTCGACAGGGTTATTCGTTAATTTAGCAATTTTTAATCGTACCACCGGACGCAATTCCGATTTACACGTCCTCCGGCTGGGTATCTTAAAAGAAAGAGAGTAAGAGAGATGGGTCCTCGCGAGGTCCGACAGAGTTGCGTGATTAATTCACGCGGAAGACACGCGCGATTATCGTACACGAGCCTCGGTGTAGAAGCCATGGTGGAATGCGAGCGAACGAACGAATTGACCGGGACAGGGGAAAAATAAAATCATCGAACAGAGAGAGAGGGAGATAGAAGGGTTGGAGGATGAGAATAAAAGCGCGCGAACGTTATATTGGGGCGATCGGGGCTGGGCGTGAGCGCGCTGTCAGCCGCGCCTGTGCACCGATGTTTTAATTAATGTATTGATAGCGGCTGACCACGGATATATCAAGCTTCTCCCTGGCCGATACATCCTTGCTGCATCGAAGCCCACGCAACGGTCCTTCGATAATAATTAGGATCCTCGTAGGCCTTCGTAGAGGGGCAACGATTTCCTCGGACGAGTTCACTTTTGCATCGCTTACGTTTTATCTTTCTTCGTAGCCTCTTTTTCTCCCTCTCCTCAATTTTGCATTCTCGCTGACGCGAAACCGCCCGCCATCGGAGACTCGATCCGATTAATTATACCAGGGTAAATATAATATGTTAATCGAACGTATATTGCAGGTGGTAATTGAGCGGCTGATCATGGACGTTTCACGAAACACAGCACGCGATCGGCACGCGATGAACGCGCTCGGCGAATTTCGTTGTAGAGGTAAAGGGTTTCGTGAGGGAATTTCGCGATACCGATTCCGTGGGCTTTCTGTTCGTTTGGAGGGGCGTGTTGGCAAGTCGAGCTTGTAAATTCGAGAGTCTCTTTCGATTGGAGGAATTCTAATCGATTCGGTAATTAAATGTTTGTGTTACAGTTGAACGTCGTTTTTTTTCTTAGTCGTTCGGACGATTCGATGTCTTTCAATCAATTTCATTTACGTTAATTGTCTCCGAAGACAAGTTTCAATTATTACAGAAAAATTGGAAAATGCGACACAGCTAATTCAATATTTTTTCTTTAAAATATATCACTCTTCTCTGAAGACAAGTTTCAGTTTTAAATTACCAGCAAGGAATTGAAAAGTATTAAACACCTAATTCACTATATTTCATTTTTTCCTTTAAAGATAAGTTTCAGCTTCCAACAAAAAAAATTGAGAAATGTTAAACAGCTAATTCAATACTTTTTAAATTAAAATATATTACTCTTCTCTGAAGCCAAGTTTCAATTACCGCCGAAAAAATGAAAAAGTGTGAAACAGCCAAAGAATGAATGAAACGAAATGATTCAATTATTACATGTTAATTACCTATGATTTTTTCCCTACTTATATTTCCATTACTATCAGCCTCGAATTTCAGAAAATTCGCCTACGCGCAGCGGTACGTCGGACACAGTCGAAGTCAGGTTAGACGTGGATTTCTCCTCCCGTTTCCACGTAAAGACTACGAGCAGCGGTGTCTTTGTTCGCTGCGAAAACCGGTGCAAGTCGATCAAAGGAAAGGTTTAACATCGTCAGCCGAGCGATTTATAAATAAATACCGATAAGGAGGGATTATCGTTGTTTGCGTAACTTTCGGTGTGGGCGTCTCAGACGTTGTTCATTGATCGCGCCATTCCCTCGTCGATATTCGATATCGGAATAGGAAAAACAATTTTTGCCTTTTTTTTTCTCCTTTCTCTCTTCGTATTTCTTCCTTCTCGCGTAACTATTTCATCAATCGTACAATTATATAACAGTCACATCTCGATCTACCATTACATTCGCCAAATGAACGAATTTCCCGGAATAAAAATACTTTTATCGAACGTGTCACGTTGTAAAGTATCGATCTGAAGAGTATGCTAAAATCCATCGTAAACAACCGGCAAAATAAACATCTTGTTATTTGCTCTGATAATTCAAAGAATCAGCATGGTGCATCGATTTCGTCACGATGTTCGCTTCTTTTTTTTTTCTAACGACAGCCACCCACTGTGAAAGCGACAGTAATTGCTTCAAATCTAATCGAACCTCTTTGCGTCGCTCCTCGAAGAAAATTTCGTAAGGTTTCTTGGAAAATTCAGATCGAGATAGGTATCTACTCTGAACGATATGTCGTCCTTTTCGTATCGAAGGTTTCGTCATATCGCATAGCTGCTGTGTTTCTATTTCCATCGATGTCACGTTATTACGAGCATCTCATCTTCGATACACGTAACTCGTAGTGCGTTCTTATCGATACGTTCACACTTGAAACACTTCGTTGAGGGGGGGAGGGGAAAGGTGACATGCACGAGTCAACCGACGTGCATCGTCGCTTCGACAAATATTTTGCGTTGAACCGATGACCCGGGGCGACCCAGCCGTACGATTTGAACTCGACTTCTTCCCGCGAGAAGAAGAGCTCTCGGTAATCTGCTCGTGTACGACAAAAGCGCCGATTTTCGGCCAGTGGAATATTTTTATTCCGCGATACGCATGGTTTATCGTGCGTGGGCGTAGCGCATGGTCGTGATAACAGCTCGTGATTCTCGTAAATACGTGGAGAATCGAACGAGGAAAGGTTTCTGTCTTGTTCTTTCACGCGGGCGGAATTCTCTTGAAGAAGAAGAGACGAGCAGTCGAATTTATTTCACTTACGAAAAGTGACCATTTGTACTGAAATTGGAAAGAATTGAAATAGAGGGAATAAAATTGTTACTTTGATTTGGCGCGACATAGACGAGACTGCACGATAGAAAGAAGAGGAGTATGGTAATAATAGTTGCAACTCGGTGAAATTAACGCGTGGTACAAGTTAGAAAATCAGTCGGAGTATGGTTAGCTGGGTTCGTGGATTCGGACGAGCCAACGAGATGTTCGAAACGCGTCTAAGTAAGGGTCTACTAACTTTAAATCCGATAATGAATGTAATCAGTGAAAATAACATGGAATCTACGTAGGTCCTGGCCTGACCGCGGCCAGGTATATATTCTCCGGCCACAGCGTGACTAATAATTATACTTGCTGAGAGACCCTCGTCTCCTACGCCGCCGTGTTCCTCCACGAGAGCGAGAGTTAAGGTCGCGCGGATGAAACGCAGAAGAGACGCGTTATATGTCTCTAATACCGCTTCCATTTTTATTTGACACTTATCGTAAGTCGTTCTTCGATGCTTCAACGCTCAAATATTTTCGTGGAGCAAATAGACACCTTCTTATTTGAATGACTTGTTCAGTGATGACAGGTCACTCGTTTTATGGAAACGAATTAGATGTTCAGATCAGTAGATGACAAACGAAATCGTATTGAAGCCGTGCTCGTGAATATTTGTTGAGAAGGTTCTGTCTAGGGCAAATGAGTGAATTAGACGAGTAACAAAATCATAATCGCTTAATCGATTTTTGCACAAATGAATAAATAATGATATTGATTGTACATCAGTATTGATGTACCTAGACATTTAAGAAGTAGAGCGACGTTTCACATTCCAACGCACAAATCGAAATATCGCATTTCTATTTTATACAATTCCCTTATGTATGAAGTAGACCATTTTAATGTATCACTAGCCACCCCCAAAAGGAATCTTGAACAAGTCCTTAGAATGGCTCAAGATGTAGATTAATATTGTACAAATGTGTCTGCACTAGCTGTATGAGTTTGTAAAAAAGGGCACAGCCCGTTAATTGTATTGTTCAATAATAATGAATCTACTCTCGTGAATATTTCACAAATTGTTCACAACGTCGTTTAACCAGTTCCCAAGGAAGAAGCCGAGGATTCAATGCTTCATTAAAATGAAAGTTAGAACGGCTACTACCATAGTGGATGTGCGCGCAAGATGTAAATCATCAAAATCTGCAAAACTGTAAGAGGCAATTTTAAAATGTTATATACTAATGGATTTGGAATAAAATTCAATAAAATTCAAAAAATGA